TAATTTCCGATGAAAATTGTTAATTATAAATTGTCCGATTAGATGACTTTATTTCACCGGCCGTCGGTAATTCCGGTGCTCCGCCGTATATCCGGTCAGATTTTCTCCCCTAATCTGTAATACAATAATAGCGTATTATTATCTTCTGGGTCTCTGAATCCGGATCAAATGGATCCTAATTTCGGGTTCAACTCCCCGGCATTGGGCACCGCCATGCCCGCCGGACTATCGCGGCCACAACGCTCAATCAAGCACCGGAAGCCACTAGCGGGCCCCCGTCCCTGGTTCACGCCCGCCCTAGAAATTGATAAGCTGTCTCGATCTTTTTCCGAACAGAGTTTTGGGTCTTTTCAGGAGGACCAGGGCATCGAAACTGCTATTAATGATCCGGGTTTTAATACTGTCAGACCGGATTCTGGACTTGGTGTCGGGTCGAGCCAAAGGAATGCGGGGCGTGACATTTTGTTTGGATCAAATAATAGTAGTAATACTGGATTTAATACGTTTAGCTCTAATGATATGAGTATTGATGTAGAGGAAAATAGAATTGCTGTTGAGTTGAGGAGATTGCGAATTCAGAGCGAGAAGACAGTGTTAGATAGTGAGAATGCGAATATTAGTAGTAGTGGTAACAGAAGTAACAGTGATGTGTTTAGTAATGTAAATTTGTGTGGTAAAGATCAGAGCGTGCATTTTTCTAGTACATACAATTACAGCGATAAGAAGAATGATTGTGAAAGACCGGATCCCGAATTACTGGATGAGATGGGAAAGTTGTATATTGGAAGTGAAAAAATTAGTACGTTGTATGGTGGGAATGCGAGTGCCGAACTTCCAAATAAGATGAAGAATTTGAATATTAAAAGCTGTGTTAGTGGAAGAGCAGACCCTATGCTTCCAAACAAGATGAAGAATATGACAATTAAAGAGACTTTGAGTTCTTCCAACGATGGGAAGGTTGATGATGTTAGTTCAAGCGATGAGAGTAAGTTCATGTTCGGAGGAAGTGGCAATGGTAATGAGATGGAGAACTTGAAAATAGGAAGTGGAGTTGGAAACAAACCTGACCAAACAAAGACAAGTTCCCATTCTTTTACAACCAGTGACACACAGAGGAACTCTGGTGTTGCTAATGTGAACTGTGGTTTGGGTTCATTTAATTCAGGATTAAGTTTTCAGTCAGGGATACGGGGTGCGGATAGTGATAGTCAAGTTCATCTCAACAATCAAGGTACTACAAGATTGTCATCGTTGTTTTCATCTGAGAATATTTTGGATAGGGCCAAGCACACGGTTGAGTTCAGTTTCAGTAGCAAGTTGGATAGTGTGGCAACAAAAAACATGGAGTTCAAAACACCAGAAATGAAAGGGAACTTATTTTTTGGCCTGAATGGAAAATTGGACCCAAAGAAGGAATCAGCAAAAGACATTGGGTCGAAGAAAAGGAGGGGAAAGTGGAGGAAACCTGTCCAGTTTAGGTTTGGGCAAGACTTTGTTTTCAGGGAAAATTTGCAAGAAAATGCTGAATCTTCTGAACCATATTCACCTATGGATATCTCTCCGTATGAGGAAACCCTGGCAGATAATAATATTTCAAGAGAGAAAGCTGTGGCATCAGATGAGTCTTTCCATCTTGATGAAAATTTGTCAAATAATACAGATGATGAAGACCTAGTTGCTGCTACAGAGAGATTAGATATAAATGACAAAGATCGAAAGGATGGAGAATTACAAGAGGAAGAACCACTGAATTGTCTAAATGAAGTTGTTGATTCTGAGGGTCCTGAAGAAGAGGTTTCAGGGGCTGAGATTGAAAGCTTCAAGTCTGCGACTGACGAGTTAAACTGTAGCACTGACACATTTGTTACTTCAGCTGATACTGAAGTTAGTTCCAGCTCCATATTTGAGAGAGAAGATAATGATGGAGGGTCCCAGTTTAATTTTGCTTCAAATATGGCACACAGTGGCCAAAGCAACTTCGTCTTTGCTGCATCTTCCGCTGATCACTGTGAGTTATCAGCATCAACACGCTTCCAGAAGAAGAAGAGTCGGGTTAAAGTAGGTCAGGATTCATGTAGTTCTACTCCAGCTGCTAAAGTTTTACACGCATCATCCCACGTGCCTCTTTTTCCAGTTTCTGGATCTCTGTTGTCGTCACCCCGGAAGCATCATAGAGGTGATATATCTACCTTGTTAAGCCAAAGAAGAGACAAATTTGAGCCCGTTAAAGAACTGGAGGCCAAGCAAGAAAATATCTCTCCTACAGCTGTAAGCATTGCAACTCAGGAAACCTGTGAAAAATGGCGATTAAGGTGTGAATTTATGACATTACCTTGAGTAAATATTGAACTGCATTTTTGAAACCTGGAAATTCATTAGTGATTATCTTGGCCCTTTGTACCTGTTCTTCTGGCAGCTTTCCTATAGTTAGTTTTGGTAAATTTCTATATGTCAATTTTCACGTACAAATATGTCATGGTACTGTTGTTTCTTGTCAGGGGAAATCAAGCCTATGCAGGGGGGGATTTTTCTAAAGCTGAAGAATGTTACACTCAAGGGATGAATTGTATTTCCCAAAATGAGACATCTAGAAGCTGTCTTAGGGCTCTGATGTTATGCTATAGCAACCGTGCAGCCACACGTATATCACTTGGCAGAATGAGAGAAGCATTAAAAGATTGTATGGAGGCTGCTGCTTTAGATCCCAACTTCATCAGGGTGCAAGTTCGAGCAGCAAAGTAAGGCGTGCCTTCTTTTTGTCCTATTGTCTTTTGGATCCCATCCTGCTCTCTCGCCAGGTGTCTGCTTTTGGTCATTTCATCCCCAGGAGTGATCTAGTTTTGTTTCTTTCGTTTTATAAGCCACCTTTGGTGATAGGAGATAAGGACAGGTGCGTAGAGGGAAAAGTACGAGTCTGTGATGATTTAATTTATGGAGCCATACACCAAAAATTTATGATACCATATTGAAATCTTGAAGAATATTTTCTTTTACTTTATTTTTTGTAACTTTAGTGGAGGTCTGTTGTTGAGATATCACTTAGAAGATCATAGATGATGATATTGACCATGAAAGCTAATTGTAAAATTATAATTCTGAGAATGCAGGCAACTTGAGCCACAATGTCTAGCAAAAAATGGGTATTTGCACAAGTTAAAGAAAGAGAAGGGAAATTGGTTGCAGTCCTCCTTAGCATTGTTTCCCCTATGAAATTTCTTTTTCTATTGAAGTTTTATGTTCGGAGAAGGTATTTGGTCTTTGCTACCAAATGGTTTAAGCTCTAGTGTAGGTTTAGTGGATGAAAAGTCATTGTAGGCTTTTCGTGACACTAATGAGTTCATAACTACTGTGATTTTGGAATTGAGATCTTAAAATTAAAGCCAAGCCTAGTTAACTTTCAAGCCCTATCAGTGTAGGAGAAGACTGTTCATTTCTCACACTAAAAGGAGAAAGCCATGCTTTTTCCTGCTTCTATCCTTCTTTACTGGTAGAACTGTTAATGTTCAACAGATAGGTTAATTGGATAGGATTGATTGGGATTTTGCACAAAAAGGTTTTTGGGGACCAAGACTAGTAAATATGGGCTTATCAAATCAGTCTTCCTAAGCAATATCGCTGATTTCGGCTTAATATATGTATGTACTATGATTATTTTGACAAAAATAATGAAGGCTTCTATACATTTTACTGCTTAACCACTTCTAGTGTAAGGCCATCATAATATAGTAGTAGAAGACTAAATGGACCTAAGGCATTTAATGTTATATGTCTTCTTCCCCCCTTCTCTCTTCCTGAACTCCATCTTCAAACAGCCAAGTTGAATTTGCCTTTTCTTTCTCTCTCTTAGTCCCCCCTTTAAAAAGATCCAAGAGATGCTCGTAAGTGGTTCTGTACATTGGTGCACCTTCTTGGTTCCTTTTATGAGTATTTATGAAAAAGTTTATTTGGTCCCCCCAATCTCAACTATACCTTTGTTCACTTGTCCTACAAAATCATATTTCTGACCTATGCACTTCTCTTTTCCATCTCTTAGCTGTTACCTTGCCCTCGGGGAAGTTGAAAATGCAACTCTGCATTTCATGAAGTGCTTGCAAGCAGGGCCTGAGGTTTGTGTGGACAGGAAACTTATAATAGAAGCATCTGAGGGACTTCAAAAGGCTCAGGTATCGAAATAATATCACCTATGACACTATCATCTATTGTGAATTTCTTTGTAATTTTGTGTTGCTGGTAATATGCTATTCCCGACGATTTTTTTTCCGAAAAACCAACTAGTGAAACCAGGTGTGCAAGAATATGGTGAATTTATATGCCAATCACATGAATGTATGATCAAGACTCGATGAGTTCATTAAAAGAAAAATGCATACCAAAAAATTGTATTAATGGTTTCATTCTCTTGAAATGAAAGTTGTTAGTGGTCCCAACAAATCAGTGAGTGAAACATAATTAAATTCTTCTTTCCATAAACAACTACATATGAATTATGGTATCCAAGTTTTGGTGAAGGCAGAGTAATTGGTTGAATTTTTGACACGAGAAACAGAAACAGAATCAGAGACTAATTTTGTTTTTTGGAATATGGAGACTAGTTTTTTAAGTGGTTGAGTTTTATTCATAAATTAACAAAACTAGGAGTCTAGAAACAATGCGTTCTTTTACTTTTTGTTAGAAACAGAAATGATTGTTTCCAAATGCTTTAACATTTTAAGTTGGAAATTTAAAATATATAAACACTAATGGAACTGAAATTCAGGTTAGCAGACTTTTAGGGCCTGTTTGATGTAGATTTTTGGAGAATAGATGTGTGAGAAGTGATTTTTGTTTTGACAACGTGTGATTAAAAATCAAGGAAAAGTTATGAGTCCTCGTGCAAAATTATTTTATGTTTGATTGAAAATGAGTTTGGGAAAAATTGAGTTTTATAGAGTACCAAACAGGGGCTTAATTATGGAACTTTGATCTATAAGTGGTTGAACTTAACTTTTTTTCTATTTTTCCCTTTGAAGTACTCAAAATTAACTTCATCTGAAATTGAGAGCTATTTGATTTACTTCTTTTTTAATGGAATGGCAGAAAGTAACAGAATGCATGGAGCAATCTTCTGAGCTCTTGCAACGAAAAACATCTAGTGGTGCGGAATGTGCTTTGAGTTTGATTACTGAGGCTTTGATGACAAGTGTTTATTCTGAAAAATTACGTGAAATGAAAGTGGATGCTCTTCTTATGGTATTTATCACTACTACTCGAAACTTCAAGGGTGTACTGTAAATAATTTAGAACATTAAAAAAAGACATAATATATAGTTCTCAAGCCTTAAATATGATATAAAAATATTTCTTACTAGTATTTCGGTCTGGTTTTACTAACAGCTAAAGAAGTATGAAGAGGTGATTCAGCTATGTGAGCAAACTCTAAGCTCTGCTGATTCGAACTTTCCAATTCCTGGGGATGATAACCCTTCAGAAAAGCCACATGTTTCTTGTCTGCAGAGGAGCCCTTCTTTCTATGTCTGGTGCTGGTCACTAATTCTTAAGTCCTACTTCTATTTAGGAAGAGTTGAGGAAGCCTTGGGTTTTCTGAAGAAGCAAGAGAAATCAGTGTCTCTCATGGAACGGTAATGCTCAATAGGTGTGATTATATATCACACAGAAGTCCTTCATGTTTAGAAATTATATTATCAGGTTCACCTCTTGGCTAGAAGGTTTCATGCCAATATGATTCTGCAGGAGAGAAAACAAGACTTTGGCATCGATAATACCTTTGGCTAGCATAATTCATGAGCTATTACACCACAAGGCGAGTTTATATTGTGCTTTAATATTTCTCTATGTATCACATATAATGGAATACATAGATCACTGTAGTTTTTGGAACAAGATAGGGATTCAAGTTCACTTTTTGCTTGTAGAGTACATTGTCATTGGTTGGCTTCCATAGGCTAAACATGGATTTACTTTTGAAGTATTGAGCGATGCACTGATTTTTAATACAAGATATATATTTCTTATATGTACTAGGCATTCAGGTTTGAATGTTTGTCAAATAAAACCCACCCTCATCTTAATTTTGCCCGAGGTACATCTGTCAACTGATTTATTATGGATTAGAGATATACTAAACAGTTACTGATGAGTGATAAATGATATTATTGCGAAGGGATTGGTTAACTTACGCAAATTGCTTATTTTGTGTACATAGAAAAGTGAATTTTGATATAAAAGAAAATGTCAACATGCAGTTTGTATAAATTCTCATATTACTTTTGACTTTCACTACATGGTTTAGTAACTTATTTTTTAAGGGGCTGATGACTAGAGATAATTTGGCTTAAGCATATGTGTGGATACCATAACTGACCAGCGCATATTCATTAATGATCTCTCGATCAAGTTTAATTTATAGACTCATTATGACAGTAGTATTTGATTAGTTGAGACTGTTCCGTCATCTTCAATATTTCTGAATTTTGTTCTCTACCTTCAAGTTTTCATCTGTTTTTTTTGTTTCTCTCCTTTCCCATCCTCCTATCGCTGTGAGTCAAATTTAATGCATTGAATTTTTCGACCCTGTTCTTTCATTCTTCAGGCTGCGGGAAACGAAGCATATCAATCTGGAAAGAATGCAGAAGCTGTTGAACATTACACTGCTGCTATCACATGCACTGTAGAGTCACGTCCTTTTGCGGCTATTTGTTTTTGTAACCGTGCTGCTGCATATCAGGCTATGGGCCAAATTATAGATGCCCTAGCAGATTGCAGCCTGGCTATAGCCCTCGATGGAAACTATTTAAAGGTTTGCCTCTAAAACATTTAGTTGTAGCATCTTTATATAATATTGAGGCTAACTAATACTTGGCTGTCTGTCTAGATGCTGGAAAAAGTTAAGTTCTGAGCATGTTGTGCTAAGCATAAATATAAGTAAATTTACTTTTAATAATAACTTCTCATTTCCAAACATGTTTGAGTAACATACTTTTTTCTTCCTTATAAGGTAAAAAAAAACCTTGCTTATTTTGAAAGTAACTCTTACCTTACTATTAAAGTAACTGCTTATTTCTAGTTTTGATCAATAAAAAACTATTTATTTTTAGATTTATTTAGTTATAAGTAAACCTTTTAAGCTTAGCTAAAAACGTCCATTGTGCATTTGCTTATTTTCGTAATTTCCAAGGTCAACTCTGGAGCAGGCATCACTAATTCTGATCGTATACAAACTTGGTTTTTAAACAATTTGAAGTTTTTGAGGTGAATTTCAACTCAAATTTCACTCATTTGCTCAACCATTTGTTCGGAAACCATATAGACACATAGTTATATGTTGGTTTTTTACTTGCCGATTGTATCTTACCTCAAAACTTAGATATATGCGGACTTCCCACAAAGGAGCATAAAAAGATGGTCCTGATCGCTTTGGTGGTTTCCTTACAACCTTTTTAATATTTGATTGTATATTTGCAGGCCATTTCTAGACGAGCCATGTTGTTTGAGATGATTAGAGATTATGGACAGGCAGCTGCAGATCTTCAGAAACTTGTATCCCTTCTTTTAAATCAAGTGGAAAGTAAGGCAGAGCAATCTGCACAATCTGATAAAATGAGTTGCATGACTGAGCTTAGACAAGCACGACTAAAACTTTCTGCAATGGAAGATGCATCCAGAAACGAATTCCCCCTGAACATGTATCTCATTCTGTATGTATCTCTGGTTAAGGATCTGAACATGCTTTAATCATTCAGCTAAATGCTGTCTTCCAAGAATATCAACTCTGTTATTCTGTTTTTACCGTGTCAAAATTCAAATTATCCCTTTGATAATGTTATTTGTTGCTTTTTATGCATAGATTTCTGCTTGTTATGCAACTTTTAACTATCTTTCTTACTGATTAAAGTGTTTCTGCAGATATATTTGAAAGCTTGTTGTGGTTGTGTTTCATCTCATTACTGCATCCTGGTAGTTTACATCATGTGGTCTATTACAAATCTTGCAAGAGCATTCTTTACCTAAAGTTCGGAGTTCTTCAAGTCTTGAAACTTTTAAAGTATTTATGCTTCTAACCGTTGAAATGGTTTGGATTAAGTGTAGATTTTCTCCTACGACATTGAGATCCTCTGGGCAAATGTTAGGAATCTACATGTAGTTCTAGGACTTAAAATAGTTTTTCCTTGCTTTTAACAGTCCACAATAGCAGTCTGCCGTTAGTGATTTTATGACATATGCGTGTTTTAAAGTAAAGACAATTTTGTGGAGGATTACCCCTCTCCATATTACTATTAAAAAATGTGTTTCCATTGTAACTTCTTTCATAGCCAACCTAGCCCAGTTTTGATTGATCAAATAAACAGATTAATGTTGAACATATTACTTAAATAGTTTTTTCCAAAAGGGGATAATTTGATTTAAGGGGAAGTAATATACATAGTATGTAGATTAACTTGGAACTTAATTCAAATAAGTAAAAGTTGAGAAGGCTTCAAGTAGCATTAGCTATTTTTCAGTTTCGGGCAAGAGTGCTATTCAATGCTGCTACATTTTTCATCACTTGTAGCAACCAATGCCAATATCAATATTTTTGAATACCCACGCATCAATGCAGGATTAGGCTTCTCAAGTACAAAGAAGTAACTGTTTTCTCCATATATGTGTAAAGTACAATAAAAGGGATACAAAATATCAATGCAAACATGATGCTTTATTCCACAATGATGCGTGATACACCTCCCTTTTTCTCACCTCCTTGAAAAATAAAAAAAATGAATTCAGAAAATGGTCTCTGATGATGGAAAATTTTGATTTCTCATTTTATGCCTCTCATCGGGGTTATGATCAATGCTGCAAGTAGAGCAGCATATTTGTTGCCACTTTCAAGCACCTGCCTTTATGACCCAACTTTTAGTTTTTCATTTATCAAAGACAATATTATTACAAGAATTTTATTTGTCTATCTTTGCGTATATGATTTTGTGGAAACTTTACATTTTTTTTTTTTTTGAGTGATGAGATGCTTTTAAATGCCAGGGGAATTGACCTGTCTGCCACAGCATCAGAAATTAAGAAGGCTTATCGAAAAGCTGCACTCAAATATCACCCTGACAAGGTTTTGGATAAATGTTTGCTTCTGGATGAATGTGCCTCTATATTCATTGCATTTTTAGACAAATACATAGCTACATAAATGAATAAACTTCCCAATGATTCAGGCCGGTCAGTCCTTGCCTAGAAGTGAAAATGGAGACGATGGGCTCTGGAAGGAAATAGCAGAAGAGGTACATAAAGATTTAGACAGGCTCTTTAAAATGATTGGGGAGGCATATGCAGTACTTTCAGACCCTACAAAGGTTTGTTTTAGTTCTAAATTATTACAGGTTATCCACCTCTTTTTATACATTTAGAAAGCACATATAAGTTCCTCTGGCATGGTATGGTAAAATTTAAGTTAAAGCAGAAATCCTGGTGGTTGGAGGTGATAAAGTATATGCATATGAACCATAGGTGTATCGAGTTAGTCTGCTTGGGTATAATGTTAATCATTGACTCCTGGTTCTCCCATTTTATGTTTTCCCCGGGGCTTGTAATACAAGTGCATGTTGATTTTTGTATATTTACTCAATTAGTTTGAAGAGAATTTCATTTTATATGAGGTATTGGCTTGAAGGGAATGAAACCGACCCCGAATTTTTTGGTACTAAGACTTTGGTCTTTTTTGTATTTGTTTGATGTTGTGATCAGTGGGTTTCATGTTAAAGCTACAAGATTTATGTTTCAAAAAATGGTACAATGCTGCAAACTTGGAAAATGTCCATAATTTTCTAACAAGATTTCTCACTGTTCATAATGTTGCAATTTTTTTCTTCCTCTCACCCCAACCCATTTGGAGGTGAGTTGATGTTTCTAGTATGACACTTAAAATTAGCATCTCCCCATGTGTAAACAGTATGCTTCTTTCCATCGCTGTTCATTCCTCATTTTTTAAGCATTTCTTTTTCACTACTCAAAATTAGTTTCATGATTTGACATGCACCAACAAAACAATCCACTCAAAGACTGCTTTGGACTGTCAACCAATTGATTATAGCATTAACCTTCATTTACTTGGCTAAATTATGTCTACTTGTAGCGTTCACGGTATGAGCAGGAAGAAGAGATGCGAAATTCTCAAAATAGAGGCAAAGGAAACATGTCAAAAATGCATTCCGATTTCCAAAATTACTCATTTGAGAGAAGTGGTAGTTGGAGACAATGACCAGATGCTTGGAAATCGTATGGGAACTCCCAACCCAGAGGGTCAGAAAGAAATCGATATAACTGGTACTCATGATGTCTGTTCCTCCATATGAATCTAAAATCCGAGCCATGGGCCGTAGTGGGCTTAATCAACTGTTGGTTTATAGCCCTGTTGAGACTCCATAAATTTGGGAAAATGATTCCAGCAACTCGGAACAGCAGGTGACCAATGGATGGTTTGTTTTTGAAATTGGAAAGTCTGAACGGTATATCTGCTACATTTGTGGTTTATATGCATTGACGAGAAAAAACCTGTTGGTTTGTTGATATAATTGGAGAATTTGAAGAGAAGATAGCATTAGCTATGTCTGTGCTGAAGACGTGTTATCCTTCTGTATTCTGGAAATGTATATGAATGGGGTGGTATATGCATTTACTTAAAAGAGGAATGAGCAATTGCTTTCCTGATGCATATTGATCCCGATGAAAAGGTTGATGATCTTTGACAGTTGCTAACCTAAGAACTACATTAAGTTTCTCTGTAAGAAGCCCAGAGTTACCTTGTCATTTGAACTTGTTTGAATATTAAGAACTGCAGTTTTCCAGGACTGTGGATGGATAACCTGGCCGAGTTAAATTTTCTGGTAAATGTAAACAATAGTGAGTTTTGGTGTAAATTTGCATTTTGAGATCTATGTTATTGTATAGAACTTTTTTGTAGTGATTTGAAAATTAAATGACAAAGCGAGTGTATTTTTCGTCAATATAATGTCAGAGTTTAAACTAGTTTGGTTTTCATTTCCTTTAGCACTGTATTTAGTGAAACTATAGGGTCTAATATGTGTAACATGGTCATGAATTATGCAAAAATTTAAGGTTGTAGCATGTGAATTTTAGTTGACAATTTAGAACTGATTTACAATTTTTTGTCTCCCTCCCAAAGAACACAATTTTGTTGCGTCATGTATGTAAACTATATGTAAACAGAGGAAGCAGATTTACACTGATTCCTATGTGCATATAGACTAGTGTTTAGATTTACTATTGAAAAATAAGTGGCAATTCTTGTTCCAACTTTATAGTGGATAACCCTTCTCTTGCGAAGGGGAGAATCTTTGTTCGTTGTTTGAGGCAGAGTTCACTTATGTGTACGAGTAAGGGAGTAGAATCCTCTAAAAGGAAATTTGGGTTTTATAGTGAAAACTAGTTTGAGCGAGCTAGTATGAGATCATTGAGTGGTTAGTAGCACTCTACAGAGATAACTTTGTGGTCAGCTTTTGTTCTGCTTGTTAAAAGGTTCTTCCTGTGATGTGAATTGGTTATCAATAGGATGTGGGGCTGATTATACTGAACTTGACTCTACCTTAAAAACAAGGTGTATTGTGTTGGGAAAGTACCTTAGATGTTCTGAGAGTACCTTAGATGTTCTCATTTAAGGATCGGCTATAGATAAGAGTACCTTAGATGTTCTGAGAAAGTACCTCCCTTAAATGAGATAATTGTTCATTGAACTTCTTACGTAAATACACCTCTAACAAAATAAGGGTGGTTGAGAATAGATGTCTTCTTGAAGTGATTATGACAATGATTGTTTCTCTTAAATGAGTTTCTAGATACTATCGGGTAAAATTGCGTTACATATTAACTTCTTACTTAGGATGTCAAGTCAGATTTTAAAGTATGTTATTCAAATAAATATATTAAATGGATTTTTAATTTCGAGTATGTTTGTTTGTGGTTAAAATTAAACTCGCAAATCGATGATGAAGATGTAATTACATTCATTGAGATAATAGAGTTCATGAATACCCCATGTATGGTATTTTAGAAGGGTATAATTGTGGTTAGAAATGTCAAAAAAATTTGGACGTCATTGGTGCTACTCAACATTCTTTTGTCCCCAACGAACGGGTCTTGCATTCGAGTTCTATTATGTCTTTGAACTAGAGGACCAGTCTCTACCCAATTCATGAAACCATTATACATATATGGCAACTCTCTCTACAATTTTTATTCAATAGGAATATAGCTTGTAACACACCAAAAATTTTATAGAATAAAACCATTTGTTCTCTCGGTATATTTTTATAAATTTGGAAAGTTGATGGATCAAGGTAAATAGTATTAAATTCAATTTTATTTGGACCAAATATTTAGATTTTGATAGAGCGGTGATAATTATATTAATATTGAGTTCATATTTAATCATCTATTTTATGCATTTCATTTTTTGGCGTTTTCACTATTATTTTCACATTTCATTGTGCAAAAGGTCATTTTCACCAATTTTCTCAAATAAAAATTGTGAAATGACGAAAATACCATTTCCTTTAAATCAAACAAAAGAAAAGAAAAAAAAAATTTAATTGCAAACATAGTCCCAACTTTTTTGAAAAGTACAAATGAGTCCCAACTAAATTATTAAAAGGGTAATTAGCACTAATGTCCATACCTTTCACAATTTTTTTTTCTTTTCTTTTGTTGACAATCTCTCACGCATGGGTGGGTGGGTAATTTTTTTTTATTTAATCACAGTGGAGTCCACCATTGTGAGTGGTTGTCAACCACTTCGGTCAACTACTGCTATACAAATAGAATTCTTCTTTTATTTATAAGTTTTGATTTTGAGATTTGATAGGTTTTGGCTGCCACGTGTAGATTGGATAGGGACAGTAGCTTTTGAATATTTGGATTGAGACTTTTTTTTTTTTTTAGTAATGCTACAGGTACATAACCATTCACATAATGGTTCATATAATTACACGTGGTATGTGATCCAGCCTTTAATTCAACTTTCACATTTACGCATCAATAAGTGGATGATTGACATGTCACCATTATGTGAATGATGTAGAGGGTTATGTACAACTAGATTAATCCTTTTTTTTTGGGGAACACGGCACTTTGACTAAAAATTCAATTTTCCCAACTTTAAATACCGTACAAAAGTACGCTTATGAAAGTTATGATATGATATGATTATGATATGAAATGGTCATCCGGTACCAAAAATATGATATTATGAGCTCTTACCGATTTCTAAAGATATGATATGACGGTATGATATTTTTGACGCATGATTTAATACTTTTATCCTGGGTTGCACCATTATTTCGTGTCCTATTGAGTAATTCCATGTACTCACCATTTCCCGACTCCTCATAGGTTAGAACGTGTCGTTGGTTGACGAGTGATGAGATGTAATCGTGGTACTAGAATATTTGGAATTACTAAACCAAATCTAGTTAACGTGGCGGAATATTTTTAATTTCAACATTGTCTTTAGTTTATTTCATAAGGATTTTTATTAAGAAATTTAAACATAATTTATTTGGTTATAAATTACCATGTGTGTTAAGCTATATTATTGGAAAAAAATATTTTATTATTTATCTAAAAAAGTGTAATTAACACATAATATCCTCATATTTCATTGTTATTGTGGAAAACGTTTTACCTTTAATTTTTTTGGCATTTTCATCATTATTTCCACATTTTATTGCGCAAAATGTCCTTTTTATCAATTTTCTCAATTAAAAATTGTAAAATGACAAAAATAACCTTCCTTTTAAATAAAACAAAAGAAAAAAGAAAAAACTAATTGTAATCATAGTTTCAAATTTTTTGAAAAGCGTAAATGAGTTCCAAATAAATTATTAAAATGATAATTAGTACATAATGTCCATATCTTTCACATTTTTTTGCAAAAAACGTCCAATTCTTTCATTTTTTGACATTTTCACCATTAATTATACATTTGATTGTGCAAACCATCCATTTTCATTTAATTTCTCAATAAAGAATTGTGAAATAATGAACATACCTTCATTTTTAAATAAAGTAAGTTCTAATTATTTAATAATTTATTTGGGATTCGTTTGCACGTTTTAATTTTTTTAACGTTTTAAATAAATTTAATTGGGACTTGTTTGCACTTTTTATAAAAAAAATTAAATTGTTAATAATTTATTGGGGACTCGTTTGCATTTTTTTAAAAAAATGGGACAATGGTTGCAATTAATTTTTTAATTTTTTTTATTTAAATAAGAGAGTATATTCGTTATTTCACTGTTTTTTATTGAAAAATTTAATGAAAATTGATAGAAATGATAGTTTGCGCTATCAAATGCATAATCAATGGTGAAAATGCCAAAAAAAGGTAGGGACTTTTTTGCAGTAATAGTGAAATGTATGGAAATTATGTGCAAATTACTCTTTTAATAATTTATTTGGGACTCATTTGCACTTTTCAAAAAAATTTAGACTATGTTTGCAATTAATTTTTTTTCCTTTTTGTTTTATTTAAAAGGAAGGATATTTTTGTCATTTCACAATTTTAATTGAGAAAATGGACAAAAGGACCTTTTGCTCAATAAAATGTGAAAATAAGGGTGAAAATGTCAAAAAATGAAAGGTAAGAACGTTTTCCACAATAATAGTGAAATGTGAGGACATTATGTGCTAATTACCCTCTAAAAAATGTGATATGCACGGGTTTTTTGCATTATTTGGAATTTTCGTGAGCGGCAAATTAATGACACATTTGTATCAAGTAAGATCTGATTGCCAAGCCCATATGTGTAATTGCTTAAATTGACTTAATTAAGTAATTAATTGAGTTATAAATTAATTATGGAAAAGTTGTGTCATAATCAGTTTTTATAAATTTTCATTGCACTGACTTTGCCGTTTGCCCATTACCGTTTCTTAATTTGTTATTTAATATGTGTAGTGGATTGAGATTTTTATTTAATCTATCTAAACATATATGATTATTACAGTATCGAAAAGTTTTCGTTACTAAGAAAAGAAATAAATAAAAGATTTGAAATATTTTTTTATATAAACTTTTGGTAGCGATTCAAATATTAAAATTTAGGTCGTTACATAGCTACTTTTGTTGCATGTATAAGTTACTTTTCTTGAAATTAAGTTTTGCTAATAGAAAAATTAACTTTAAAAATCATAGTTGACAACCGAAATACTAAAGTAAAAGACAAAATAGTTGAGACAAATGATCAAAAGCTTCTTATAGGTATCACAATTCACGACTGTAGTTTACCTCTGGTATGAATAGGAAAATGAAGGTTCCAATTTCAAGAAATTGTTACATGGAGTATGTCATACATAAATTCCTAATCCAACTTCTTTAGGGTCTGTTTCAACCATCCATGGAGCCCTATTAAAAGAAAAAGTAATTGATTTAGCCAAAGCTTGTAAGCTAATTAAAGAACTAAATAAAGGTAGGAAATGGATTTGCAGTAGGTGAGTTTCACACTTGTTCATTATGAAATTGATCCTTCCTTGCGTCGCACGTTTCAGAAGAGGTTCTCGTGCCTCGATTGCGATTCCTTCAGGCTACAAGCAAAGCAAATAATGAGTACAAGTGGCTAGACACACAGTTTGCATTCATCCAATTATTCTCCATAATATCGTGACCATAACATATTTGGCTATGCTTAAAACAATGTAAAAATAACTTTTTGTCTCCGAACATATTTGGATTACCTTTAACCTATGAGCAACCTATTTTCAACTTTGACCAATAAAACATTTATTTACTTCCAACTAAACTGTCAAGCTTAACCAGATATGTACTGCGATCATATGTAAATAAGCATATACTCGTTCTCCATAATGTTGTGATTATATGGCCTGCATACCTCTTCTGGAAACCAAACGCCCGGTTGCGTGCCTCCCTCGAGCATGGCAAGTACAAATGCAGCAATTGCGGTTCCCACTGATCTGAAAGAAGTATATCCGCTATACATGTATTAAACAACATATGATGACAGAAAATACCCTCAGACCCCAGGTTTTTACGTAATTTCAAGAGATTCAGTGAAGCCCCAAGAGTACAGAATGTACAGTACAGTCAGAGGATGTCAATATGGAGAGTTTCGAATCAATGTATCAAGTAGACGTAAGAAACAACTACTACCATTAGAGCGAGATAACAAAATAGATTTTTACTCGGATAGTCTTCTGTGACTGAAAATTCCTATTCTATGGCGCCCATCTGAACACTCCAAATCAACCTGTTCAAAAGGAAATGAAAAACAGGATGTTAATTTATCAATTCAAAATTTCTTTATGATACAATTTTTTAAGTCCAACATTTCTTAGAGATAAAATTGAAGGAAATTAAAAGACAAAAAACAAAAAATAGGAACCACACCCTCATTGAGACTTTCTCTCCAGCAATTCTGTCAACTGCTCGAACTAAAGGATCGAATTGTTGAACCAATTGTTGAACTTTGCTTCTGTCTCTTAGAAATTCCTGCATATATGTTCAATGTTACATAGGCAAATTAAAAGTTGAAAGAGTTGTCTCAGCCGCAACTTGTTTGAGGTGCAAAATTATCATTCAAGTCGTCAAGACATTGAATTACACTTCTTAACTGGTTTGATTTTAGCAGTAGTGAGCAAGAGATTATGATCATTAACTGTTGGAGACATAATTTAAATAAGTTTGTCTCCTCTCTAATAACTTAAACTTTTGGATGAGGTCATTCAAGATAGTATTACATCCTGAGTTCAAGTTTTGCTGAGGTGCGTGTTGAAGACATAATTTAAATTAATGTGAGTTCCCTCTCTTAACAATTAAAGATTTTAGGCAAGGCGGTTCAATAATAACCTTGTTGAGATAAAAAAAACTGATTCGTATTACAATATAGATGCTGGAAGGCAATACGATTCCACAAGAAGTCAGCAACCATTTCCTAGAAAGAGGTATCAGATGCCAGATATGCTCTATTACATATCATTACACTGTTCTAGAAAACACCTAAGACATGTACTATACCTATGAATCAAAATAACGACAGATGCAGTAAGTTTTGATTTGATTTTCAAAAGTTAAGTCACATACCGAAGGAAGAAGACTTGTCATAGCTGCCATTCCCCAATTCCAGAAGAAAGGTGAAGTTCCAAACCTAGCACTGACAGTTGGAACTTCAAGGACCTCGTGAATACTTCTGACCTCTGGCAAGTTTCTGAAATAGAATAGTTTTAGAATATCTATACAGGAGAAGAATGACCAGCTAGAAAAGAAGCCACAACTTACTTCTCTTTGCATATCATCAAATCCTGAAAACTAAACAACAAAAGCTTGATAAATTTTCATGAAGTCACCGTGCCATAATTACTCAAGGAACAGACTACTAAAATGGGAATCGTCATGATCTTGGAAATTCAACAATGATACTGGCTTCCTCAAATCAGGTATATATATAGTCCTAACTTCATGTCTATGCCTTCAATTGCATCATATACAAGTTAAATGAATTGAGTAACATTTTGGGAACTATTCATGGGAGTATCTAGCAATGCTAGAGTTTAAGCCTTGAGTCATTTCATTTTGTTACTACTCTCGTTTGCTTATCACTAAGCCAATAAGAGAAAGCATTTGATTGCTCCAGCAAGATTAACAACTTCATCAGGAAATTTTCGTGCTCTGGGATCTGAGAAACTTACAAGAGGAAAACATCCTTCTTTCCGATCCCAATTCCAAAATCGATGTTGAGCATTCCGCTATAAGGCTTCAATTTTATTTTTGCTCCTGTCAAAACAAGTCCTGCATTTTAATCAAACTTAAAAATATAATGTGTGTACCTGATAAAGAAATTCATATTCCATTCGGCAAACCTTTATTATATGCAACGACCTCCTCTCCTAGAAGTAAAAAGCTGGTTGCTAATATTGTAGGGCCAGCACCACCAGAGCCAGCTGTATAGTAGTAGAACCTAGGACAAATACATTGGTTCAAGAATTTAATAGCACCCAAGATTAGAGGACAGTAAGAAAATTGATGGCTCTAAAAGAGATGTGATATCACATTTATTTAAAAACATCTTGTACAAGTGATTAATTAATTGTCCAATCCATTTTGTTTCAATGAATTACACTGGAGATTATAAGAGAAGAAAGAAAAATAATATTAACGTGTTTTGGGTATTTTGAGATTAAGAAACCAAACCAATGGCCATAAAAACAATGATATCACATATAGTAGAACTCATCTTGTTCACTGTACTAGATTTTACAAAGTTGCTGCTTGATCAACCTGGACATAAATACAAATTGTACAAGGAGATTAATTACTGCCCCCTGTCCATGTGTTCGAGGAATTGCACCAGTGACTAAAGGTGGAGCAATGTCAACATTGTTAACACTTTAGGGGGAATTATGAGATAAATAATCAAATTAAAGGCCATTATCCTATCATCCTGTACAAGGAGATGACATTACTTGCCCCATCTATTTGTCACTGACTCACCGCAACCAATTAATTCATATTAGCATCTCTTTGCTACTTTGTTTCAAACACAACCCCAGAAAACATCAACTTTAAGAAGTAACATTTCAAAATAAAATCAGTTTCTAGTCCAGCTTTCTTGTTACCCCAACCTGGAATTTAGCTGTCATTTCTCCAACGACGAAGCCAAACTTCAAAACTATACTTCTATTACATTTTATCAGTTCAGTTAATTTTTTTATATTGTTCATGTTCCGATAAGTAGGCGCAGTTATCTGAGCGCACAAGTTACACAAAACACAACGAAAAATTGCATGGAAGTGTGACAGTAAAGCATGTTTACATTTTTCTGTGCAGGCTATGTATGGCAAGAATTTCAGCACTATTGTGTTTAAAAGACGATTACCTCAAAAAAAATAAAATAAAATAAGTAAGAAGAAGATATAGAAGTAATTACCTCAGCCTCTCTGGCTCACCTTGGCCTTCGGTTTTTGCAGCACGGACAAGTTCTGCAGCCATCACTGCAAAAATAATGGTGAAGTGAACATGCACTTGAGATCTCAACGACATCATGGGAAAGCTATTTCTTTCCTATAAAGAGAGTAATTGGCAATCAAACTTGTGCAAAATGCAATGGACTTCATAGATAATGAATGACCTAACACTATGAATTAAGACCGGGATGATCTGAAATGGTCGATGAATTGATCAAAACAGTAGAAGTGGGCAAGATGATCTCATTTAAAAATGCCAAAGCTATAAAAGAAACTCGAGGTAATGTAGCCAGAAGTTGGAACCAGTTTGTGTTAAATCATCAATCCTAAGCCAACTAAGAACTATATCATTTTCATCACTATCAATTCCTTCCTTGCTGTATGTGTTCTACTAGATTCCTAGATACATCGATAGTTTTGCAAGGATAATGTTACAGAACCATTGCTCACTCCCGGATAGATTCCACCAGTTGTGATTGCTGGAATATTTGCATCGAGTGCTTTGTTCATATAGGATTTTGCACGCCTTGCATAGCTTGTATCATCACACACATCAATATATGCTGTCTGTTTGATAAAAACATTACTATTTAGTCATATGTTGATATGATAGCTGTACTCACATGATGGAGCTATCAGATAACATAAAATGCTGAAACTATATGATTTGCTGAATGTCTCTCTCTCACCTTGGTCTGAACAGCAGCTTCAAGCACGGTACACTTCTCAGCCTGTTGAAACGGCCCAGCAGTGTGAACAACAAGATCCACATCTGAACATGGCTGGGAGACAGTTAAGCATGGGCTTTAAATCCTTACAGTGACAGCAACGATGATCACTTTTAGTTCATATTAATTTACATGCTTAATTTTGAAATAATCAGAACTACAAACCATTCAAAGTTTCTTCCAATGATTTATTATCATCAATGTTGACTTCAGTGAATTCTGAATTGTTCCCAAGTTTAGCTACCATTGCATCCCCCTTTTCCCTGTCATCAAATAAAAACTTACATTTTAATATCTAATTTTGAAAAGTGACTGGGTATTCAGTTCCCCAAGAGAAGAAGCCAGCAAATAACAACACATGAGGCCTTATCATTGTGAACCTTTCCTTGGCGAAGTATTATAAGATATCAAAATGAAGTTAACAGTGAAAATAACCACCTCTCAAAATCAGGACAGGCTTATCAGGCCAGTAAATTATTCATTAAACAAAACTTTATAGAGCCTAGTCATATTGTATACTTATTATCTCTACTGAAGGTCAGCCTAATATTTGCACGATATAAAAACCTTTGTGGCCGATTATGCGTGTATGAGGAAAACCTTTTACTCTTATTCTTCATTATGGTACAACCTGCAACAACAAGTGGGCTTAACTCTCAGATTGAGGATGAATCACAATAAATCGACGTGTTTGCTTTGTTTGTTTTCAATTCTCATTCTGTTTTTAATTGCTTTCATAAAAACGGAGTCGCGATCTATTCCTATCACATCCAATAATGAATTCTCACTGTATTTGAACAAATATACAGTATAATTTTATTTGATTTTGTGTCTTTATGTCCTCCAGTTAAATTACAGCTCGTAGATCATAAGAGATTCCATAAAAAGGAAATTCTTATCCCTTCAATTTTCTCAAGTAATAAGCTTAGGAAACAAGTTTCAAGTTTGAACCAAACACAATAAGAATAGGAAACAAGTTTCAAGTTTGAGCATCAAGACACACACTCAACAGAACAGCAAGAATTTTTTTCATGTAAACAAACCAAAGCCATTAAAATTAATTAAAATCAGCTCGTGTACATCCTACTATATCACTCGCACATTTCCAATCATGAGAAAAATTCTGAATTCCATTTATGAAAAATGTTCGTCAAACTAAAAAAAAAAAAACCCAATAAAGAATATTTTCCCAATTTTTGAGGAAAATGTAGTCACATGAACAATTTTTGATAAAATATCTTCCTTGAAAAAATGTCAATCAAACACCTAAAAAGTAAAAAAAAGGAAAAATATCAAACAGATGGCGGACATAAAAATGGTATAGATTTAATTACCTGTTTCGACCACCAACGACTATGCGAAGATCAGGACAAAATTTGGAGAGAGCAATTGCAGTAGATCCTCCAACTCTTCCTGTGCCTCCCAGTACCAGAATTCTTGAATTCTTAACTTTTTCTGGGAGCTCAACTCTATTAGGATTGGCTTTTTGTTCGGTATTTTCTTTTGCAAAGGCCACTGCCAGAGTTGTGTTGAATTGCATGCACATTCTTGCCATGTTTCTCTCCGTACTCTATCTCACACACACTGGGGGACAGAAAGAGGGTACTGTGATATCCAGTTATCACTTTATCGTTATTGATGACGTGGGCTTCCCTGAGACAGGTTTTTGTTTAACTTTAACAATTAAACTATTTTACTGAAAGAAATTTGACACTTTGGTTGGCATTCCCTCACTGGGCTTCACTTGGGATCCATATGATTAAAAAAAGGAAAATAATTCTCTCCCCCAAGGGAGGTGTCACTCCAGCATTGTTCTAACTTTAAATATCAAGAGCGTTGCCTAGTGTTGGCAATCGAGTCGAGCGGCTCGTCGACTTGGCCGCTCAGCTCATACTGTAGTGACCCACGAGTCGCTCGGACTCGTCTTTCCGAGTCGAGTGGGTGGGCTCACTAGACCAGTTGAGCATGGGAGGCGAGCGCTCATTTGTAGTGGGCTTCACTCGGGACCCATTTGAATTAAAAAAGGAAAATAATTCTCTCCTCCCCCATATTGTGAGAAATATGTCAGGGAGGTGTCACTCTAGCATTGTTCTAACTTTAAATATCAATAGCGTTGTTTGGTGTTGGCAATCGAGTCGAACGGCTCGTCGACTTGACCGCTCAGCTCATACTGTAGCGACCCACGAGTCACTTGGACTCGTCTTTTCTAGTCGAGCGGGTTGGCTCACTAGACGAGCCGAGCATGGGAGGCGAGCGCTCGTGGGCACCCGTCCACGAGCCGAGCTATTGGGCTAGTGAAAAAAGCATTAAAAATATAAAATAAAAAACTAAGAAATAAAATAAAATAAAAAAATAATGAGCCACGAGCAAAACGAGCCACGAGCAGGCTCGGCTCATGAGCTCGTGGCTCATTTCTCCACGAGCCGAGTCGAGCCGAGCTGAGCTCGTGGCTTTAAGGGCCGAGCCGACTTGGCTCGACCCATTAACATCTCTAGCGTTGCCACTGTTTGATTTAGAATATAATCAAATTTTTAGTAAATTTTGATAAAAAATAAATGGTTAAAAAGTTGTGAGTTCAATAAAATGTGTGATTAAAATTTATTATTATTTTTAACTTAAAATTTTAATCAGAATTTTTCGTTGAACCAAACATGGGCTTAAATAACTAGAATGAATGGTGAATAATTGAACAACAATTATAGATTTAATGAAATTTATCGATAAAAAGTGATTTGACCGCAAATCTTGCTTGCTCTTTCTGCTAAACATTCTTTCAATTTTTAAAAGTTGTTTCGAGTATTATTTACTATAATGAAAATGTAGTTTCAAATATTAATTGTTTGGCTAGAGTACTTTTTGACATACAAAAAGATTTATAAAATATTTTTAAAAAGCCCAAATTTTGAGGTTGTCTAAAGAACATAAGGAATATTGTAATTTATATTTAATGAAGCTTTAAAATCAACAAAATACACAATAACGTATCGAAAAATTAACTTCTAACCCAATTAAAAGGATTAAGATTATGCAAAAGCACTTTTTAAATTCACAAACAAACTTGTTACTGTCAAAAGTTCCAAAGCTAGAAGTTCTGCTCACAACAGAGCCTAAGAGTAAACTAATCCAACATTGACTACCATAATGTATATGAAGCATGTTTATAATGATATCATTGGTCAAAATTCATGATTAGTAGCGTTTTCTCTGAAGTAAATTTGGAAAGCATAGTAGTAGACAGAAGATTGGTTCACTTAAGTTGAGCCGAGTCGAGCCTAAACTCGAAACTCTGGCTTGGTTCGAGCAAAAAATGTTCGAACTTTTTTTGGCCCGAATCGAATCGTCGCTCAGCCAAAAAATTAAGGCTCGACTCGAGCCGGCTCATTTTTTTTTCCTCGTGTTAAACTGTCGGCAAGTGCAGCTGTATGTTTTATTTTTTATTTTTTTTTCTTTTCAATTTTTTTAACGGGCTCGGCTCGTCCAGAACGACCCGTGCTCGAGCCTTTGCCCCAAAATGGGGCTCGGTGGTTCCGAGCCTCGAGCCGGTTAGGACTTTTCCGAACTGAGCCACGAATCACCCGAGCCGCCAAGGCATTTTGCTATCCCTAATTATTGAGCTTTAATCATCACAAATGTATGCTGGTATATATGAATTTCAAATTCAAGACATTGAACAAAGCATAACGCTAAAATTTTTTCAATTTAAAAACTCGTACCCCTGTTTGGTGGGATTAAAAATAGATTTTAATAAAAGTAGATGAAATGTGTAGTTGAAAAATTATGAATCCCATAAAATATATTGTTAAAATGAAATCAGAATTTCAGTTTTTAACCAAATAAACTTTTCACTATATAATTGTTAAGATTAAAATTTGTTGAATTACTGCATGAACTTAGTTTGCCAACAAATTTAAAATGGTGAAAGAAAAATAAAAATGCTTTTTTCCCTCACAGGCCCAAAGGTTCTAAAAGACAATTACAGCCAAGAACAGTAAATCAGTATAACCTTAGAAATATACACAAATTAATTTTACCAAAAAGCATAAAAAATCATAATCATAGAATAACTACAAAAATGGGTATACATTAAATAATGATTGGCAAATAAACATACCGAGGGATCGAAGCATTCGTAAATCAAATTTCTTTCATGATCGATTTTCTTGGCATGTCGATGTATCAAAGTTTTCAAATCAAAGTATTTTTGGGACTCGGTTTTTACGAGGCAAATATTATATGGGCGCTTACCCTTTCTAGCATTTATTTATTCCATACGAAGGTTCACTTGTTTGGCTGTTGAAGTTGGTTGCTCCCAAGCCCAAGACACATCTTATGTGGCAGCTTAGTTAGGGAGATAATTTTTTTGGCAAGATTGTTGGATGGCGATTCTTTCATGACACTTTATTCTTACTCCGATACATATGTCCGTAAGGGCAGTTCAAATGTATCTAATCGTATTATGTGGAGAGATATGTTGAATGTAGATTTTTTACCAACTTTGTCGAGCAGCTTGTTCATATGGATCATCCATCTAAGGACATATACAACTCGATTAGGAGTTCTTGTAGGTGTTATGCCCTAGGTCCAATCAACTTTGGATATAAACACTTTAAATATATATAATTGATATATGTATGGAAATATTTATTATTTAATTGAATTAATATTCTAATAAATTAAATAATAGAATCCGTAGATTCAAGTCTTGGTGATTTGTTAATCATAAGGAGTTGTGATTGTGAGATACAAATTACATACGACTGAATCTTAAATCGTCCGTGGTCGAGGTAATAACGAGATACGGATATCGTTATTACGGATAGACTATCGCGTGTGGCATTCTTACTTGTGAAGTAAGTAGCTGATCTCACAAGCTAAAGTGTGGTGACACTTGAATGAACACGTGGATGTTTTGTTATAGAACAAAACATTGGAGACCCGCTGAGAGATTCCACATGGATAACTATCTAAGTGTTAGTGGTTAATCTCTAACGTTCGGTAGTGGAATTGATCCTTTGACTTGAGGTTATCATGGTACCTTATATGAGGACAGTCATACTTTGGTGCTGTTGGATGTTACTCTGCCAAGGATCGCTAATACAATATCGTTCGGGTATATCAAGAATCATATGAAGGTTGTGAATGACCAATAGAGGATTCGTTATTCTTAGATAGTAAGAGATTATGATCTACATTTATCACAGTTTCTATCTAAACATATCGCAGATTATCATTTGGAAATTGAAAAGTGTTTTATTTTCGCTGTACATGTTAAGTAAATTCTCAACAGTTCTATCATCCATACAACAATTTCCTTTTACTTTTGGTGATTGTGGTTGGGTCTTTTCCAGTTTATGTTGTGATCCAGTGGCAAATATGATCCTACCTGGCCACTCGATGTTAGTATTGTTTGGAGGTTGAAACTATCCCATACTTATTCACAAGTAGTTGTATAGCCGATCAGGTGAGGCACCACTTTGCTGATATATTTCAAGTACCTCTTCAATGGATGAGGGAGTTTAGTATCGCTCTACGAGGTGATGATTTTATGCCAGTTTGTTTGTACTGGTCACATCTCACTATCATTTCTCTATTAAATCGTTGGTGTCTATGGGCTATAAGGAATGATGCGAAGTACAGTATTGCTATGGAGCCTTGGAGGATCATTTGGCAAATCTACTGTACAAAAATCGTTTAAAACCCATTGAACCAATCGGCTTAACCATAAACTGGTGAATTGATAACTTCATGAATGAGCCTCATACACGGCTCATAGAGGAATTTTGAAGGAAAAAAATTCATAAATAAGGTGTTTACTTTACACCAATTTAAAAATCAAGTTTTTTTTAATTTTTATTATGAAATAATAAATTATTAAATCAATTTATTATTAAATATTTAATTCTAATATAATATAATTAACTCTAGGGTATACGTGGTGGGTATCCGCTCCTGTGATTATTTCGGCAACCATTCTTCTCCGACGACTGTTCCGATAACCGTTCCGACGACTGCTCCGATTTCGACAATTATTCCGACGACTATTGGTCACAAATTTACAATTTAAGGTCACAGCTCAAAAATTTTGTAACTCACAATTAATTCGTTGGTCACAAATCAAAATTTATATGTCACACAGTCACATATTTTCAAATTAATTGGTCACAGATTTTTTCGAGGTCACAAATCAAAAATTTTATACTTCATAGTTTATTTTATTGGTCACAGATCAAAAAATTGTAGTTCACATTTTATCGATCGGTTACATATTTTCAAGTTGAACCAAATAGTTGGTCACACATACTGAAACACCCCACCCCGATCCGATCCACCACCCATACTTCATCACAGATGACCAAATAATTAGTCACATACATCCAATAGTGGTTACATGCCACCGCTACCAACACTACTGCCACGGCCACTAGGCAACTTGCGACCACCCTCACCCGGCCACTGTAGTCGCAACACCACCACGACAATACAACCCCCACCACCACCACACAAATGTACCACCATTACCAACAATACAAACGCACCACCATCGCTGCCGGAAACAAAGCCACGACTATCACATCGCTATCGTCGCCGCCGCCACAAACACCTGCTGCAATACCACACAAACACTATCACCACCACACAAAAACCCATCCAAACCCTCCCCAAACGCCGATCTACCACACAAACACCATCACCACGACCACCACACAAAAACCCATCCAAACCCTCCCCAACCGCCAGATCCACAACACAAACATCAAAGTACCTGAACCCTCATTCCGACCC